GGTGTTCCCTGCGGGCGGGAGGGGCGGCTCCCCGCCGGCGCCGGCGGCGCGTCCCCGTGGGCGGTGGCAGCCCTCCCCGGTGTCGGCGACTCCTCAACCCCTACATCCCGCACCCGTCGCGGCCTCCGCGCTGCCGCCGCCGTGGTGGACCGTGTCGATGGACGCGANGACGTGGCTTTAAGGGCATACCCTGGAGGTACCTGGCCTTCGCTGGCCAGGGGCTGTTGAGGTGGGGGCGGCGGCGGGGTCGTCGGCGTGCTGTTGCGCCTCTCTCGCGGCCGCCTCTGCCGCCCCTCGCTGGCCGGGGGAGCGCCGCGACCGTTGCTTGTGCCCCGCTGCCGACGAATGTGCCCCCCTCCCCCTCGCCGCCGGTGTGCGCGCCGCCGGTGTTCCCTGCGGGCGGGAGGGGCGGCCCCCCGCCGGCGCCGGCGCCGCGTCCCCGTGGGCGGTGGCAGCCCTCCCCGGTGTCGGCGATTCCTCAACCCCTACATCCCGCGCCCGACGGGGCCTCCGCGCTGCCGCCGCCGTGGTGGACCGTGTCGATGGACGCGACGACCTGGTGACCACCCGTACATCCACCAGGAGGCCCGTGACGTCCCCCTCGGTTGCTGTGGCGCCGATCGGATGCCCATGGAGAATTAGCCCCGGCAGGTACTGCTACTGAACGGTTGCAGACCGACGGAAGACACCGGGCTATGTGGGCAGTGGGGAGGGCGGCAGGGCGACGGGTTGATGGCTAGCACCGATGGACTCGGAAGGTGAAGAGATATCCTAGTCAACTCCAACTGAACACCAGCCCACTCACGAGCCTCAACCTCCTCCGTGGTACACAAAGTTACTGGTCTCATATAACGGTTCTCGGTGGGGCCACCAATGAGTGCATCAGAGTCGGAGCCTAGCTTCCGCGTCGCTCTTCTGCTAGACCCAATAAAGTAAACTTCGATGTCTCCTTCCTCTATCAACTTTCATTTGTCAAAATCGTCTGCCGTGGGCGGCTGTGGTAGACGGGACAAAGCATCCGCAACTTGGTCCTCTTTGCCCTTGCGATAGGACAGGGCGAACGAGTAAGCCGATAAGAAATCACATGATGCGTCGAACGCGTGGTTTCTTTTCACCCATAGAAATAAAAGATAGAAGCGGCTGGTGGTCGGTGAATGCTTCAAATGGAATGCCATACAAATATACACGCAATTTCCTAATGGCCCACACCAACGCTCCACACTCCAGCGAGCTGNCCTCTTTGCCCTTGCGATAGGACAGGGCGAACGAGTAAGCCGATAAGAAATCACATGATGCGTCGAACGCGTGGTTTCTTTTCACCCATAGAAATAAAAGATAGAAGCGGCTGGTGGTCGGTGAATGCTTCAAATGGAATGCCATACAAATATACACGCAATTTCCTAATGGCCCACACCAACGCTCCACACTCCAGCGAGCTGACATCCCAGTTCGCTTCGTTCGGTAGGGTCGATCTACATTTATGTACACTAGAGGACGGACGGTCCCATCCTCTTGCGGTTGTTCCAGTACCGCACCAAAACCAGAGATACTGGCATCGGTCGTGAGTCGAAATTTACGAGCGCCATCGATGGCGGCGGCATAGTCGGGGAAAGCCAACACCTCGAAACTTGCTAGCTGGGCCAACACCGCTTTGGTCAGCTGTTCATGGTGTGCCGTAAACTTGAAGTGTGCGTCCTTCTCGAGAAGGGCGGTCAGGTCCGTGATATTCCTCGCTAAATTGGGGAAAAAATTTCGAAGGTACGATACCGAACCTAACATAGACCTTAATTCACTCTTAGTCTTGGGCATTTTTATCTGGGCCATTGCGTCTGTCTTTTTAGGATCGGGCTGCACGCCAAAAGGGGTTATCAATTGCCCCAGAAACGTAACCTCTGCCGAGCCGATGTGGGCCTTCTTGGGGGACAGCTTTAGGTCAGACTCCGTAAACCGCACCAACAACTCCCTCAACTGCGCCACGTGCTCAGCGGCCGTGAGGGACGGCACAATCACGTCGTCTAGATACACTTTAATCCTTTTCAACCCATCACACACCTTAGCCATCAGCGACTGGAAGTTCACCGGGCTCCCGAAGCATCCTTGTGGAGTCCGGGTCCATTCGAACAACCCGAATGAAGTGCAGACGGCCGTCAGAGGGATGCTCGACTCGTCGATGGCAGCCTGAAAGTACCCGCTCATCAGGTCGAGGACCGAGAAGACCTTGCTCCCTCCCAGCGCCGAGATGAGATCGCTGACTAAGGGCATGGGGAAAACGGGAACGATTGTCGCCTCATTTAACCGTTTAAAGTTGCATGTCAACCCCAATCTACCATCCTTCTTCAACACAGCTACAAGTGATGACGCCCAATTNCCAACCTCAAGCTACCATCCTTCTTCAACACAGCTTCAAGCGGCGACGCCCAATTTGAGATGGACTTCCGCAAAATCCAACAGCTAACTAACCGATCAATCTCTATCTTATCTTTCGGTTTATTACTGGACTCCGCCGATACGGGCGCTGCTTTACCGGTCTCATACCTGGTTTCAGGTCAATGCGAAACGGCAAGGCGGTGCAGTGCCCTAGATCAGTCTTATGCGCCGACAACCGATCTGCATGCTCCACTAATACACCCGCTAAGCTATCAATGTCCTTGGCCGTCCAAGCGTCATGCCCCAACCCAAAATTCACTTCACGTACATGCGTCGGCACCCGTGCCCATAGCCTGCAGAATGCCTCCTGGCACTCTGGCTTCATGTCGGCAAGTATCTCCGTGGGAGGGGAGTCGGGGCTGGGGAAGGGGGGTGGGGTTGGGTTAGTGGAGGGGTCGGCGGTTGCTTCTTCCTCCTCTATTGTGTACAACGATACGGTGGGCTCTGGAGTAACGACAAAATCCGACAGCGGTGTTTCACACAAGGGTGTTTCGTTGCTGTTGATGATGCTACCCGCCCGTACTCCCAACGCTGTACGCACAGAAAGGGGCAATGCTACCCCTCCTTCCTCTACCACCATTTCCGGCGAGGTCCAATCTCTGAAAACCTCGCAAAACATTTTCCTTCCCTGACTACTTGTCCCTCTGCCGTCTCCACTCGGAGAGGGACCCAATACCTCTGGTCTGTAAAATATTGCACGTCTTTCGTGGAATCAAAAATCAAATGATGCTCGCTGCCATCATGGNTCGGCACCCGTGCCCATAGCCTGTAGAATGCCCCCTGGCACTCTGGCTTCATGTCGGCAAGTATCTCCGTGGGAGGGGAGTCGGGGCTGGGGAAGGGGGGTGGGGTTGGGTTAGTGGAGGGGTCGGCGGTTGCTTCTTCCTCCTCTATTGTGTACAACGATACGGTGGGCTCTGGAGTAACGACAAAATCCGACAGCGGTGTTTCACACAAGGGTGTTTCGTTGCTGTTGATGATGCTACCCGCCCGTACTCCCAACGCTGTACGCACAGAAAGGGGCAATGCTACCCCTCCTTCCTCTACCACCATTTCCGGCGAGGTCCAATCTCTGAAAACCTCGCAAAACATTTTCCTTCCCTGACTACTTGTCCCTCTGCCGTCTCCACTCGGAGAGGGACCCAATACCTCTGGTCTGTAAAATATTGCACGTCTTTCGTGGAATCAAAAATCAAATGATGCTCGCTGCCATCATGGTCTGGTGACTCGATGTACGCTACCACCTCCGGCTCAGCATCCTGGTCAACCGTAGGTGTTTGGGTAGGAGGTAGAGAGGTTTTCAATCTTAGAGTTCTCTCACCCTCCCTTTCATCACTACACTCCCTCACAGGGAAACGCGCCCAACTGTCTGTACCGAGGAGAACCTCGTGGCTCATCACCCCCTCTGGTACTACATGCGCATTGACTGCAAGCTTTGCTGTGGGTTGTGACGCACGATCGAAAAACTGTACATTAAGTCGCACCATGCTATTCGTTGCCAATGGTGTGCCTCCAAACCCACTCCATCTACGTGTTTTGGCAGTGCGGATGCCTGATTTCGAGGCTGCCCCGCATTCAAGCATGCACTTGACTACCTTCTCGGCCACAAATGATTGGGGTGACCCGGTGTCAACTAACGCCACTGCTGACTGCGCTACTCGGGCATGTGCCCCTGCAAACACACTCACCTTCGCGGTCTGACGGCTAGCACTCAAGCATACCTCCCCTGCCTTGAAGTGAATGACTTCCTCAGAAAACTACTCGGTAGCTCCCTCCCCAAAGTATCGTGTGCAACTCTGCCCGTCCGCTGTTTGTTCCACACGCTCAGGCTCGGAGCAACTTCATCCTTCACACTCATGACATCTACCCCCTTCCGTCCGCGTACCCTTGCCCTTTAGCTCTTGTTTTTAGTCTTTCTCCTTTCCGTGTGCCCCCCCTCTACTAAATAAATCTGGGTCAGAAGGACCCTTGATGAAGGCGACGGAAGCAGTTCCGCTCCTAGACCGCTCTCTGGGATAGCTGTCGAAGTCTCTACTACTTCCTTTCTGCTCTGTGTGCGCTGTGCCGCTGCTGCCGGTACTCCTGCGACCGCCGCGACTGACTGCTGTGTAGCTGCTGCGGTGTCAACAGCTGCTGTTGGGGTGCCAGTTACCTCTGACAAATTTCGATGGGCAGAGACTATACCATGCGTTGGGGAAGGTCTGATCTGATCGACTGCCCCCCCCTCCCCGCTGTTCGGAAGCGGCCTAGCTGNGGTGTCAACAGCTGCTGTTGGGGTGCCAGTTACCTCTGACAAATTTCGATGGGCAGAGACTATACCATGCGTTGGGGAAGGTCTGATCTGATCGACTGCCCCCCCCTCCCCGCTGTTCGGAAGCGGCCTAGCTGTATCTGTGGGCTCGGCCTCAATTTCGTCCTGGACTACGGTGTTCTGGGTACTCCACTCGCGCTTGCGGGGGAGCGGGCGTGTCCTTTGCCCTTTACTATTTATCTTCTGTTCTGTTTCTTTCTGAGATGAGTTGGGTATTGGTGTCGGGTCATGACTCCCGATGTTTACCCCGCTCTTTTTCCGGTTATCGCTCTGGACGGATACTCGCTGCACCTTCAGGATTTCGCTCCGGATGGGTACTCGCTGCACCTCCGGGATTTCGCTCTGGATGGGTACTCGCTGCACCTCCAGGATTTCGCTCCGGATGGGTACTCGCTGCACCTCCGGGATTTCGCTCCGGATGGGTACTCGCTGCACCTCCAGGATTTGCTCTACATGTAGATTCTCCCTACTGCTTCTACTCTCTCTGCTGCTTCTGTTCCTATTTTGTACACGTTTATCGGTTGGTGTTGCGGATGTCGACGGCCCCCTGTCACGGGGGCTGCCTCCCTCACCCATTTAGGGCACCGATGCTGCCGCCGTCGGGAGGCTGTAGCCCCCGGCGACGAGGTACTAATGGCTCGAAGCACTAGGTTTTTTCGGCCTCGGGGATGCGGTACACCTGTTCCTCCTCTGTAAGAACAGACGCAGCAGCAGCATTCGATGAAGCTGCAAGGAGATCCGGCGCGTAGGTGACGGCGCCGGGAGAAGCCGACGAGCCAGGCATTGCCCCAGCAGAGGCAGAGGGAGGAGCGAGAGAGAGGGGGGCGGGAGGAGGGACTACAAGAGCAGGCTGCACGCTACCAGCTAGGCGCGGGCTACGGCGTACATAAATACCCTTAGACGCGTCTTTCTCTTCAGGGACCCCGATATCACGCTTACGGTAAGACATGATCAACTCAAACAAACTCGGCAGCTTCGCCAACTGTGACATAAGCTTTTCTGGATTTGTGTTCTGATGTGGAGCACTGCCAACCAATCACAAGTGAGGTGTGGTTCTACTAGCAAGGGTGGTTCTGCTAGTACTTCGGGTCCAAAGGATGTTTGGTCAATACTGTCAATGCTCGTGGTGTGGTCACGGGTCCCTGATATGCACAAGAGGTAGAGTCGAATGTGGTCTCTTTTCGTCAGCCTGAAGGTGAACTCCTCATCAGCAAGAACACCTACTGTAACTCAATCGCTTATCAATCCAATCTCACGAGGCTGTCCTATGCTATGCTGAGGCGTCACACTCAACACAACGCTGTGGGGACGGCACTCACGCTCACCTAAACCCTAGTCAAAGCTATGCCAAGCGGCTTCTGATCAAAGGGGGTGGCTGTAGGAGAACTGAAAGCCAGAATATTCCAAATGCAATGGGAACTCCGGGGAAGCGGGGGTAACTTCAACCATACGGTTACAATCTGGGGAGCTTCCTACAACATGTGTGGATGCCTCGTCGAGGTCAGTCCTGAATAAATAAAGAACTGTGTGGCGTGTTTACCAACGGTCTTGCAGCTCTGAGGTTAGGAAACTAACACGAGGGCTCCTCAGAGCACAAAACGAACTCCCTCGATTGGACGAGGGTTCCACATTAACTAGTTAATCTGGCGGTCTCTTCGAAGATCGGTCGGAGGTTTCAAGTTGTGTACAGCAGCGGACTGGAGTACGTACTTCGCATCGAAGTCGGTGTAACAGTCTGCTGCGGTTGTGGCGAGGTGACTTGCAACGACAATAAACAAGGTCCTGGTCGCGAAGAGTGGTCAGGAGATGGCAGGGCGAGGCAGAAGCGGACGCGGCGCCAGTGCCGCGGACGGCGAAGCGAGTCCTACTCGGGTGAGTGTGAGCGAGGTAGTGCTCGGCTCCATCCAGAAGCCACCCGAATATGGGAAGACGCTGTCCGCTGCTGCNGGACTGGAGTACGTACTTCGCATCGAAGTCGGTGTAACAGTCTGCTGCGGTTGTGGCGAGGTGACCTGCAACGACAAGAAAAAAGGTCCTGGTCGCGAAGAGTGGTCAGGAGATGGCAGGGCGAGGCAGAAGCGGACGCGGCGCCAGTGCCGCGGACGGCGAAGCGAGTCCTACTCGGGTGAGTGTGAGCGAGGTAGTGCTCGGCTCCATCCAGAAGCCACCCGAATATGGGAAGACGCTGTCCGCTGCTGCATCTAGGCGATTTCTGCTTCGGTACGCGGAGTATGAGCGCGTTGCGGCGTGCGGCAACGAAGGTCGGGTAGTGCAACGGAAGCCTACGTCGATTTCCGAGTTGCTGCTGGTGCACATCCGCAAATGCTTGTCTTCTCTATACTTCGAGGGCAAGAAAATTCTGACGGAGGCAGAGCTGCGGGAAGGTCTATCGCTCAACGCCGAAACTTCGGGAGAGGCTTTGGTTGAGCCAGCCGAGGCGAAGGCGGGTGTGACCCGCGCGGCTAGCATGAAGCCGAGTGCCTCGGTGCTGGAACGCGTATATGCTGTTCATAGCGCGTTGGAATGCTACCTGGCAGAGAACCCGAATGTGGCGTGGCTGCACCGCAACGCCGACGACGAATGGCTCGAAGAGTCGGAGCACGTAGTCAGCAAGGCTCTGGTGAAAGGAATTTCGCCTCCAGAATTCAAGGCAAACGTGGAGAGCTCTCTAGGGCTCCAAGGAAATTGCAAGACGGAACCTGAGCGCGTAATAGCTGTGATGGTGAAGGAGGCCACTGACTGGAAGAAAACAGAGAAGGTAGATGCGGAGCGTCAAACCCGTGACGCGGAGCGTCAAACCCATGGCGGAGCTCGTGCTGCTGGCGATAAGTCTGACAAGGCGGCTCGTGGTGGCGCGGCTGGCAAGGCGCGGGGCCAGCGTTCCGGCAGTGGGCGCGGTGGCCAGTCCGGCTCTTCTGGGAATTGCTGGGTATGCGACAAGCCAGGCCATATCGCTCGAGACTATAAGCAGGCATCGTCTGGGAAGTCAGGGGGAAAACCTGCACCGGCGGCGGCAGGGTCTGGAAAATCGCCGGCGCGACCTCGTCAGCAGCAGCAGGGGGGTCAGCAACGAGCGGGTCAGCAGCCGGGTTCAACCGTCCAGAGTATGGCCGCTTTTCGGAGGAGCAGAAGCAAGGTAGGGGCGATGCGGTGGCAGAAGCACTTCCCCCGCCGCCTGTTCCCGTTCAAGGGACTAAAGCGTCGCCTGACGCTACGACGGCTCCGGCGTGGCGGTCCCAGTCCATGGATGGCGTCGCGAGCCTGCACGCCGAAGGGGTCGATGTGGATCGCACTGGTACGTGGTGTTTGGCTGATTTGTCTGTCCCGGGGGCAGCTGAGTCTACGGTGTGCCTGGTGCGTGCGGTGCTCGACTCTGGGTTAGATCCGATGTCAATGTCTGAGCGCGTCGCGCGCAAGTTGCAAGCATGCTTTCCTAGTGTTTCGTTCACGCATCCTATGGGGGGTGCGCATCATGTACGGATGGCAACGGCAGTATAGTGCCTACAACGAACAAGGCATGTCCGTTGCGGCTGGCGTTGCACACGGAGTGGGGTCCGGTGGTGTTGGAGCCATTCCGTTTTTCCGTCATGCCCGGCGAGGACGACACGATCCTGCTGGGAGGAGCAACCCTGAAGAAGTTGGGGATAGACGTATACGGCAGTCTTGCCGCCCATGCGCGGCAGAAAGCTATCGCTGCCGTAAAGGGGGTGGAGAACGCGGCGTTCCATGAATGCCGGCGTGTTGCTGTGGCGGCAGAGGCGCTGCAGCATAACAACGAAGAAGAACCGGTGGAATTGCGTGATGAGGCTGTGACTCGGGCGTTTTCTCGAAAGCCCAACATGTCTATGGTCCCGGAAGAAGAGAAGGTCCAGCGCAAGGTAGCTCTGGATCACGCGGTTCAACAGGCCGCAGGGCACGGCTTGTCGTCGGCGGGTGTGACGCGTCTGAAATAAATCCTTGGACGGCGGTTTGTCGCGTTTCGTCGGGCGCTCCGGGGGGACCCTCCGGCCAAGGTGGAGTCACTGAAGGTGACTCTCTCAAGCCTGGCGAGCAACCCGTCAAGGCGAAGGCGCGTGTTTACTCCCCCGCAAAAGCTACGTGGTTGACTGGATGCATGGCGGCTCTGGTTGCCATGGGTATGGTCGTACGGACAATTCAGGCGGTCTGGGCGAGCCCGGCTATGGCGGTGCCCAAGCCAGGCCGTGCGGGTGAGTATCGTCTTGTGAGTGATTACTCTCGGGCGAATCTGCAATGTGAAAAGGTTCCAAACGTAATGCCCAACCAGGAGGCACAGATGTCCCTGTTTAAGGGCGCGAAATGCTTCGGGAAACTTGATCTGCTGCGAGGGTACTGGCAGATACCGTTAGCTGAGAGCGCGCGTGAAATATTTACTATCGTGACACCTGAAGGGCTATTTAAGCCAAAACGCGTCCCGCAAGGGGTGCTCCGCGACGGGATACTTTGAAGCAGTGATGACGGACATTCTGCAAGGATTGAGCTGCATGGTCTGGGTCGATGACGTTGCATGGTGGGGTATCGACGAAACTGATCTGCTGAACACTTTAGACGAAATTCTTCGGCGTCTGGAGGACAAGGGTATTTTCGCCGCTGCGCATAAGTGTCTTTTCTTTGATACGAAGATCAAGTGTTGTGGCAAGGTGTACTCCGGTGGACAGGTGGCCCACGATACTGCGTGCCTATAAGGGTTGGCCGACATGCGAAGGCCTGAGACGGCAGGAGAACTGATGCAATTTTTGCAGGCGGTTAACTGGTTGCGAACATCGTTGCCACGGCTGGCGGAGGTGGTGGAACCTCTCCGACGCTTGCTGGAGGAGCACATGGCGTCGGCACCTCGTCGGACAAAGAGGATTGCGTCTAATCGCCCGATTGAGAGCGAGGCCTGGACTGCCGGCATGGCTGAGGCATGGACATTGGCACAGGATTTGGCGGCACATGCGGTGGCGTTGTCCGAAGGAGGGTTTGCTGTGCTGATGTTTCCCGATGCGTCTGATGAGCATTGGGGTACTTTCTTGACGCAGGTGCAGCAGGGAGAGCTGGAGCGTGGAGTGTCCGTGGAAGATATGACCCACAAGCCGCTCGCCTTCCTTACAGTACGTTTATGGGCTCTCAAATGAGGTGGGCGACGGTCGACAAAGAAGGCTTCGCCATCGTCAGTACGTGCAAGCGGCTGGACTACCTGCTGTGGGGCGGTGTTAATGTATACACCGACCACCGTAGTCTCACATACATTTTCAATCCTGATGCGTGCGTGTCATCGTTGCCGAAAACTACTGACCAGCGTCTGGAGCAGTGGAAGATGGTGTTGGCGCAATTCCAATATTCCAACATGCACATCTCTGGCGAGAGGAACTGTTGGGGGAACTTGCTTTCGAGGTGGGTCATGTTCCCGCAGTGAAGGTTAGGGCTGTGGCTTTTTTTGCGCCGAGTGAACCTGACGACACGATGCCGTCGAAAGAGGTTATTCGTCGAGTTCAGCAGAGTGCGCGCGAACAAGTCAGAACAAGGGCGCATGAAGCGGAGGTTTTCATGGCGCCGCATGGAAAGGCCGTGAAGGATAGCGAAGGAATATTTCGAATCAAGGTGAAGGGACGCGAGGTCATGTGGATTCCTGAACATGCCAAAGAGCTACAACAACGTCTCATGGTCTGCGCTCATTTGCGAGGCGCAGGACACGGGGTACGGTGGCAACTTTGCGACGATTACAAGAGTATTGCTGTTGGTTTTGCACGGAAAACGAGGTGAAATAGTTTGTCAAACAGTGCTTGCATTGTGTAGATTCGAGGGCGAGTGAAATGGTCCCAAGGCCGCTCGGAGAAACAGTGCATGGTACAAGGCGGGCGGGGCGAAGTCATTCATTTTGCCTATATGTATGTTGGCCAGAGTGGGCCGTTGAATATCGAAGGCTTGGATGAAGGCGGTGGATTCAAATACATATTAGTGGTGATGGATGATCTACGCAACTTCGTGTGGCTAGAACCAACGGAGTCGTGCACGGCCGCTCTAACAGCCAAGATTTTGCTCAACTGGTGTAAGACTATGGGTGTTCCGCAGATGTGGGCCAGCGATACCGCATCGCACTTTAAGAATCAAACCATGAGCAAACTTGAACAAGCTCTGAAGGTAAAGCACAAATTCGCGGTTGCAAATATGCCACGAAGTAACGGAACAGTAGAACGCATGATGACAGAAATTGTGCGCTGTTTGAAGGCGGTTTTGCAGGAAGTAAGGCGCGACTTGAGCGAGTGGGTAGATTTGGTCCCGGCTGTACAGAGGGCACTGAATACCGCTTATCGTCGACGTTACGCGAACACACCGTATCATATTAGGTTTGGTAGGGCACCGCGAACTAGTTTTTCCACGTTAGCGTCTGCGACTGGAGAAGATTGGCAAATAGACATGCTGTATCACCAAGGACTCAAACGAAAGGTGATTGATGTAGTGGCTGCTTAACAAGATATTATGCATAAACAGGTGAAGGAAATGGTCAAACATTATCGCGAAAAACAACGGGGGCATGCTAGTCGGGGCGAGCTACCTAATTTTGCGGTTGGTGATTTCGTACTCAGGGCGTGGGTGAGTAGACCGGGGTCGACGTCGAAGCTTATGATGACGTGGACCGGTCCATGGAAAGAGGTCGAGGCAAAGAGAAAGCATGTATACGGAGTGCCATCATTTCAGGGGACGTACACGACGTGCATGTAGCTCGATTAAGGTATTATTCGGATAGCGATTTAGGAGTGACTTCCGAGTTGAAGCATGTTTTTCAACATGCGTACACACAGGGCGAGTTCACGATGTCTGCTATTGTGGGCATTGGTGAAAATGAGGACGGTACAATACAAGGTAAGGTAGAATGGGCCGGATTCGAGCGCGATGAAAGCACGTGGGAGCCGTTGAAAAAGATATGGGAAGATGCTCCGCAATTCGTACGGTTGGAGTTGCGAAAGATGGATCTGGACCAAGGAGCTCGTGCTAGGTTGCAGTCGGAATATGTTATCGATCTGTAGTCTATTTGACGGGTTCATTTGTGCAGTATTCTCATAAATAAACGTTGTAAAGGCATGTTATCGTATTATTGGGAGGCTGACGCCGTTATCATTCAATGGTATGACGCAATGTAAGTGTCGATTTATTTGTTGTCATGTCAAGCTTTCGTAGAAATCTACTTTAAAGTAGTACGTTGCTTTGGAGGGTGCTGTGGAATAAAGTAGGACACAAAATTTTTTGCGGCAGTTTACAAGGTCGTATAGGATTGGTTCTAGAAGGACGTAAGTGTCGGTTCACGTGTAACGTGCATGAAGAGGAATGCGGCGTGACTTCGACGATGAACATGTATTTGTGATGCCTCGTCGAGGTCAGTCATGAATAATGAAGAACTCTTTGGTGTGTTCACCAACGGTCTCGCATCTCTGAGGATAGGAAGCTAACACGAGGGCTCCTCAGAGCACAAAACAAACTCCCTCGATTGGACGAGGGTTCCACACGTCCCACTCATACAAACATATGGCGTCGTCAACATTTTCGGGTACAAAGTGTTTCCACCTCTTGTCGGGGGGCCGGTGGCATGCGTGCCAGACGCGCTTCTCCTTCCCGTCTATCTCAACCAACAAGCCTCATTGTTCTTCGTTACACGCAGGCATACGCCCTTTTCTTCGGCGGCGGCGGGGGGGGGCAGCAGGGGCGGCGATGCTCCCCGAAAAATGTGCCAGTGGCCACGTGATCCTGCGCCCCGAGCGAGTTTGTGCCGGCTGCATACCAACCAGCCGCTTGTCGTCGGCCGCCCCGTCCTCTCCAGCTCGCTTATTGAAGGGTGAGGGGCGTGCCATTCGCCATCGTCGTCGGTTTCGCCAACAACCATGGGATCCGTCAGAGGGGCACAGCGACCGACGTCGGACACTGCCACACCCCTCACGTGCTTCGCCACACGAGTGGCAGCACCAGACGTTGGTAGTGCCGTGTGTGATCCTTTTTCCAAGCACTGCCGCCGTTCCATCCTCCCCTGTGCCGAACACCAAATAAAATGGCACCCTTGTGAGTCCGTGCTGTACATTCTACAACATTTATGGTGGTGCGTGGCCGAATGTTTCTCCTACAGGCGGCGAATACCCTAACCGCTTCCTTACGCCAAAAGAAATTGATGGTGGGGGCTCACTACCGTGTTCGGAGTCGTTAGACCATTTACCTCGCATCGCAACAAGGTCGGGACGGAGCGGTACGCGGCGAGTCGCTTCGAGGGTGCGCTGCATCCTACAGAACGTGTTCGGTTAATTGTGTGCTTGCTCCCTTGTATACGAATAATGGCTGAGATGGCATACCCTTAGTTTCTGGCGTTTTCTCTTTCCTCCAGAGACAACCGTTAGCACTGTGGAGCTGCCTCGGGGGTACTTCACTACTCTTTAATACAACGTGGTGCGATCATCCCGGCCCAACATGAGCTACTCGAGCACCATCATGGTTACCGCAATAAAATAACACGTACACAAAAAGCCAGAAAAAACAAGCGGTAACCTGGTTGACGAGCCCACGAAGCGATCGGTGTGTTTTACAACGTCGTTTTCACGCTCCGGAAGCCCCACCCCGATGGCTCGCGGTGGGGGAGGGGGGAGGGGGGGGCGGCGGCGTTGTGTACCAAACGACCTCATCAACGCAGTCGCGACGCAAGCATGTGCCTGCCGGACTAAGTTCCCTTCGTGATCAATCCTCACCTATTCTCTCTCGACCGGTGCCGTCGGCGTGCGCCCGGTACGTAGTGCCTTCTTCCGTCCCATCCAGGTTTCGGTGCATCGCGACCGGCCTGGACGAAACGGACATTTGGGCCGACGGGGGGTCAACGGCGTGTCTAAAAGCACACAGCTCCGTGCAAGACTCATCCAAGTGGTTATTGCAAGAGCCAACGACCCTTCACTGTCACAAAAGCTCGGAAGGCAAGTACTCCCCGTTGCTCCATTTTCCAACTTTTCCCGGTGCGTCCTCAGAGGTAGAGGGGCGATCACTTCAGAACAAACATCGATACAAAAAAAAGGGGGCGACAAGCGTTGCCCACCGTTGTATTTACTTCCTTGATTGCTTCCATTCTGGTCTCGGTCTGTTTCGGTTTCAATGTCTTCTTTGGTCATAATCTCAGTGTTGTTTCGAACCACCGTGCCACCAGGCCGGCTTTTCTTTTGTCGAGGGGAGGAGGGGTGCGCGCAGGTTTGGTTTCCCCCAAAAAAACAGGTGCACTGGTCTACTGCACTTGGAACACTTTCAGGTACAGAAAACATACTTCCTCTGTCACATAGGTAAAGTCCGCTATGATTACACGGCCATTTAGCCGTGTCCGATGTCTTAGGCGATACTTTTGTTGAAATCTTGAGCGTTTTTCGGGTGAAACCCATGTTTCTTTTTTTTTCTTGCGCACTACCCTGCATGCACTAGCGGCTTACAAAAAAGTAGTCAGGCCAAAAAAGGCCGTATTTTGCCCCTTTCCATGAGGGTGGGGGTGGCGGCACGAAACGAAACATACCAAAAAAATACAAGAATTATCCCGAACCCTAAACCCAAGGTTACCTCTACTGAACGATCCATTTCGCGTCCTCCCATGCAAAAACCAACATAGTAGTGAACCCACACTAAAATCAAGACATTTTCGAGGCCCACACTAAAACCAAGACACTTGCCTCAGCGTGAATGACCGATTCTCCTTGTTGACCTTGCGCAACGCCGCGGCCTTCGTCGGAGTGAGGAGCGATGGCCGCCCACTCCGACGTTTGTTTGAAAGGTCGAGCTCTCCGGTTTCATCGATCTGCGCTTTGCATTCCGCCCAATGTTTTCTGGGGTAATCACTACCAACGCCGTACCGCTCGGCGAGGGGGCCTAGAAAGCCCTTGGGTACCCTTTCTTTGCCCGGCGGAATCGCCAACGCTATCTCCACCGCCATGGCGTACCGACGACCCAACGATACTTCCGCACCCCGCTTACGACGTGGGGGTGTCTGGGCGTCGTCCCCCATGATAGCTACGTCGTTGTGGTGGTAGTAGGTGCTCACACAGTACAAAGCTGCAAATATTCTTTAAAATATTCTCAAAATGTTTTCAAAATATTCCCAAAATATTCGCAAAATAGTCCCGTATTTGACACACTAATTCTCAGTAATTGTGGGTCGGATTTTTTTTTTTATGTTATGTGCGTAACAAGCGCTTTCCAACAAACCTAACTAGAGCTTCAGGAACACCTTGGCTGGTGAGGTATGTAAATTCCCCCATAACGGACTTTACTTATGTGACAGAGGAAGTATGCAATCAACGGCAGCAACACTTGGGATATTCGGAATAAATGCCTGGGATTCGTGTCAACCTCCGGGGCCGACAACGTACATGAACTAAGTTGCTCCGACAGAACAGCGAACTAAAACGACGGGAAAGTATCGAAAATACAGAGAGAAGAGTATGTTTTTCATGTTTTTTCAGCGGTGTTGTCTGGTTTTTGAATGGCCTTCTCGTGGACGGATGTCGTATCCAAACGGACTGCCGTAGTCTAGAGCGGATATATCATGTACGCGGGTCGAAATTACAGCAGTAGCAGTACCTTCGATATGCAAAAAAAAATCAAAACAGGTTGCCAGAACAATGACAAAAAAAGCGGCTCGTGGGGAGGACGTGTCCAAACCGACTGGTGTAGAGCGGCTGAAGGCCATCCACTTCTTCGAGGTGGCGGCCGAGCGGACGTACGCAAGACTAAGACTGTACTCCTGTTAAGATGCACAAAACAAATTAGAAGAGGTTTCTAGAAGAAGTACAAAAAAATTATGCCGTTCGGCACTGCCACTGCGCGCTAAACATAAGAGTACAGCGCTGTCCCTATGTGCGTCTCGCAGTCATAATATTCTGCATTCGACGTAGGGGTTACAGCAGTCGTTTGTCGTGGTAGATGCTTGACGTAAGATTACACCCCCCTCCAATTTCTCTGCGCCGTGATTTGAAGCACACTTTGATAGAGAGCCCAGCATATCATAGCCGGAGTTGAGTAAGGGCCGTTTTAAACGGACCGACTTTTTGTCAAAAATTTTGAAAGTGTCAAAAAAATGGAACCTGTATGTAGGCGTTTGTCCATTTTTTTCAAAAATATTTGGAACGAAGTTGGGCGCGAAAACTTTGCTCCACTTCGTTCCAACTTTTGACAACCCTCTCAAAGTATTTGGAGCACTTTCCAAAGTACCCTTGCAGAGGCACGCGTAGGCTGCTGCGTCTGCACCACGAGTTCCCCTCACCGTAGAAAGTCAGCTAGGGTTGTGTGTGAGTCATCTGTCGCTGTCGCTATTGCTATCGTCGCTGTTGCCAACGTTGACTCTGCTGTCTGCTGTTGCTGTGTCGTCCGAAAAACGGCGGTCCGCCATGATGGCTTGCAGTTGTTGCTTCGCGTCCGCCGCTTTGTTTTTTCCTTTTCCCGGGGGGGTAGGAGAAGTGGTTGCCACCCCTCGCCGGCGGCCTGCTCCACCCTCGCTCTGAGTGTTGGTGGCGGCAGCGCCTCCCGTGGTAACATGAGTGTTCCCCGAGATGCCAGGCAGCAGCACTATCTTGCTGGAGAGCAAGCCTCCACCGCCTACGGCGGCACCGAGAGAGCCCGTCTGCTGGAATTTCGCCGGGGTTTTGGTCTGCCGGCCACGCTGGGTGGTCGTGATATCCATGTCGGTGTCCATGATGTCGTGTTTTCCGCGGTTTGTGTTGTGTCGTGTGTGTTGTCTCGAAGTGAGCGCTACAACTCACGGACGGCGTCATTTTTTTGTACACAAGTTGCACAAGTCCACGTCACACGTTTAAAATGACTGCACACAGGTTCCAAGTTTTTGAAAGACAACTGTCGAAAATTTTGACAAAAAAGTCGGTCCGTTTAAAACGGCCGTAAGGCGAGCTAGACAGAACAGATGAACACAAACTCACGTGTCGTGTGTGTTTCTCCAATCCCGTAGCTCAAGGTATCCCAAAACAAGACCACGTCCAGCACAGCTACAGCACTACTTGTACTACACAGCTATCGATGTACACATGACGTCTACTAGCCTTTCCGAAGTAGACACCACCAGTGGAGTATGGCAGAATGCTTACATATCCTCAGCCAGCAACGACGACACAAGACACACAGAAGCACCGACGACGCAAACCATACACTGCAAATAGGTAGACAGCGTAGGATCTGTTGCGCGGCGGTCGCGCGGCGAGAAAATTTGAATCTTGAAGGTTCTGCAACGTACAAGTTCGTCATGTGCTGTTCCGAGACCACATTTGGCAGCACCGATTAGTATTGGGGAATGCGGTGTCGTGGCGCGCTAATCGCATAATATCATCTGGTGCCACCTGCTAGTTGCAGCCGTGATGTTTGACTCCTGTTTCAATCCTGCCTGTGGCCCTGGCGCGGTCTCCATCCGTGCTGGTGTGCTCCTCCGTTGCATGCTCCAGTCATTTTGTGGAAAACTGGCAGGCGTTGCAAACATAGGATTTTGTGCCCCCGGCCAACAAAAAAATGCGTCACAATCTAATGTCCTAACACTGGACAGCCGAAAATACATTAGACACGAAAACCATACTTTTATTCTGTTTCAGAACGAAATATATTTAATTATTCGGAGAACGGATCGATCGGAAGAAATTGGCACATACATGCCCGACGGCCAACGCACAACGCCGAAAAGAACGCGGCCAACAAGAGGGGGGCGTTGACGAGGAAGATGCTCACATTCGTCGGATATGCAGCATGTGCACTCGTGTCGTACGAACTAGGTTTGAAAGAATGCCAAAAGATTGAGAGGAGGCGTCACAAATGTGAGTGCTGCACGTGCGGACAAAAAAGTGTATCAATCCTAGGTTTCCCGGTCCGCCAATTTTTCCCCGTTTGGGCCGGTTTTTTCCGGTTTGGCGTTTTTTTTCCGTCTGGGCCGGGTCCCGACGGAAAAACCCACCGGGTTATTCGTTGAGGATTTTCAGTTTTTTTTGGCCGGAAGAAATACGCCGGCAACTTTTTCCGTCGAGTCGAGGACGGGACGAAGCGGCACGTGCGAGCACACGCAATCAAGCGCTCCCTGCGCAGAAGGCTGAGCAGCAGAGACTGGGGTTTCTTTCACAGCAACGTGTGTGCAGTTGTTGGGTCGGTATTCGGGCGCGCGAGAAGGTTCTTGGTGCCCGCATGCGGCGGAAGAGCAGCTCGCGTTTTATTTTGAACTGGATCTTTGATCGAGGTAGGAGGGCCTCAGGAGGAGGAGAGAGGATCGCGATTCGGCGCGAGGCAGCAGGAGCCCAGGCGGCAAGAGCCCGGTCGTCTGTGAGTGGGTAGGAGGAGAAGGAGAAAAGGGGGCGTCCCTGAGTGGTCGCATGGACAGCAGTGCGACCGGAGAGGAGGGCGACTCCGGCAGCAGCTCCAGCTCGGAGGTGGTCCCTTCCTCGCGTGCACGTGGAGGAGGTACGCAGTCTGCAGCGTAGGCGAGGCGAGAACGCGCCAGAACGATCCTTCATCTCCATCGAGTGGCGCAGACGAGTCGACATCATCGACTGGTTCAAAGGCAGGAGGGCGCAATCTTGCCACTCCGTGTCCAAGCCGAAGGACTACGCGGTGCTCACCAAAGCATCATGACGACGCCGACGGCTACGTGGGCATCGTACAAGGACGCACGGTACGGTCCGGAGGTGGGGCGAAGGGAGGAGGTGGTGGGTCGTTCACTTCGCCCCTCAACCTTGTGTCGAGCCAGGAGAGCACTCCCAGTCAAGGAGGAAGCAGCAGCGGGGCAGGAGTCGAGCAGTCGGGGTCTGCTTCGGGTGGCGGGGTCGGAGGACAGAAGAGCAAGAGCAAGGAGGGCAAGGGGAAGGCTGGAGCTGAGCACACATCTGAGCCCACATCCACCTCAGGTGTGTTGCATAGTAACGCCGGCAGGACACCTAATGTAGACATGTACAGTTCAAGCCGGTTTTCGCAGCGAAGGTTTTGCTCACCCCCGCAGTTGTTCGCAAGTGGCTGTACCGGTCATGTCTCCCGAGTTTGATTTTGCAAGCACCGCTGTGTATGTTCCAGGATTGTTCAAAGGAACTCGTTGGTCACCCCAGTCAAGACAAACTCGAACGTAGACTCGATTGTTCCCTTGGGGAAGCGTTCAGCAAGGGCCATATGTAATGGTTTCGGTGTCCGTTAGGCCTTTCAACACTACACTACTGCTGTCGTGCCCCTCTATGGCCATACGCAAGGCGCGTGCGACCGCGGGGGTGATACTTGTACGCTGGCTTGCGTAGTAGTAATGCTGCGCACTGCAGCTTTGAACTCTATGGTTCGATGATCTTAACTTTTTAACTGCTGTGTGCATATCGGGACGCAGTAAATGGAAATCATACCACTCGGGTATATCCAAGGGGTGACATCCTGATTTGTACTCGCTCCCCTCTGTGTCCATCGTTGCTTCTTCATGTACCTACGCTCGTTGTCGGATACGAACCCATGCATTGCTGGAAAACAGGTGTGTGTGTGTGCGCAGAAGCCTGTAGCTTAGTCTCAATTAAAATCGGCAGTCATGTCTCCGCGTCGGCCTCGTATTGCTGTCCATGTTTCAAACCTCATCCTCCGCGCAGGAGCATGTAGGCTGTGGCAAGGCGACGGCGAAAAGACAGCGTTCCACCTTCTCATTCAGGAGTTGTGCCCGATACAGCACGAGCGCAACAAGCACAAGGCTAAGGCGTGGCGCGAGATCTACAAGAGGCTGCGGGACGACCACATCGTTCTCAACCTGACGGACAAGAGGGGACAGATGAGGGAGGTAGTGGTGCATGGGCCCGAGCATGGAGGTGCGTTGCGGATGTATATGTTGTGATGCTCATGTGTTGGGGTTGCGCCGCGTACCATCTAGAACGTGTTTCGATAGCTAACCAAACTCAGTACAGATGTAGAGCCTAGCCCCTACCCCAGTTCCGCGTCCTAAGTGCTCTCTGGTCGGACAACCTTGGCTACGCATGTCGGGCGTGCTTTATTTCTCTGTTTTGGTGCATGGTAGAAAGTAAATCCACGTGGTAAATACTCCCAAGTGTACACCCCCCCCCAATCCCCTCCCACACACACACAAACACCTGTACACGTCCCTCCCTTGTCGTGCACACGGGCGAACGTGCGGACATACCCAGGGGCAGACGGAGGCCGAAGTGGTGAAGAAGCTGAAGGAGAGGTTCGATGTGGACCGCCGGGCCCTCGCGCGGAAAGAGAGCAAGGAGGAGAAGAGCACCGGAGAGGGGAGCATGGACGCGAATGAAGTGACCGAGTCGATGGAGGTGATGACTTTCTTGAACGAAAAAACGGTATTACAATATGAACACAACTCCTGTGGAGATAACGGACTGTGTCGTCCGTTTTGGGTAGGCTTGCATTCATGTAGACAACAACTGGGAAGTGCACGGAGCGTCGTTCATTCTCAGACCTCGATCGTTGTTGGTGAGGAAGGCGTGTGTGTCCCGGCATGCGCAGCCATTGTGCATGGACGGAGTTATCCTATATGGCGCGTGCCACACGTGGTACTTTTCTCGCACCATCATGCAACTCCTCCTCGAACCATAGGTGGTGTATACACGGGCCTGTCCATGATAGTCCACGCGCAAGCCTGGCATTCTGTTTGCAACGCACCTTGCCTGTGACCGTTGCCCCTACCGTAGCCGATGTTGTCGTGCCTTCTTTTTTTAGGTGTTGTTTCGCACGACGCGAGGCCCGGACATATTGGGCTATTGGGCTCGCTAGTGTGTACACTGTTGTGTGAAGCGACATCCGTGCGCTAAACGAAAGAGTTCCAGCGCGATGAATGTATTTTCATTTTGTACTGTTTCCGCGACGGTCGTTGTGCGCTCCCGGATCTGCATTGCAGGAGGAGGAGCTGAGGAAGGCCGTTGAGGCTTGGACATCCGGTAAAGCGACGAAGAAGGCCACCAAAATCACCAAAGTCGAGCACCGGGAGATGGGGGAGGAGATCCGCGACCAAGCATGGCAGGCATTCAACTCTGGGCCCGAGGAGCGGGGGGGGACGCGCGGGAGTCGCGCTTCTGGCGGGAAGCTGGTGGGGGGGCCGAGCGGGAGTGGGACTTCACGCGGAGCGGGGGAGGGTAAGCGAAAGCGGAAGAAGCGGTGGAAGGGGTCGTCCACATCGAGGGTGACTGACAGGGAGCGGATGGAACGCTCCAACTTCGAAGGCAATGGCATCTCCAGCGACTCCTCAGGGACCGAAGGGGACTCCGACGAGAGCGGGTCGTCTTCTGGTAACAGGGACGAGCGGAGGCGGAGCCTGGACGAGCAGGAGACAAAGCTTGCCCGTGGCGATTTGGGCCGCGCCACCCGAGAGGCGAGAGGGGGCCGGCCCCGCAAGCGCCAAGTCAAACCTCTTTCCAGCGGTGGCGGTTCGACACAAACCGGGGGAGCGGCGGTCAGCCTCCTCGAGGAGATAGCCGAAGATAGGCGGGCGGAACGCGCTCAAAGGGCAGGAGGAGCAGGCGCGGGGGGCGAGTCGGGCTCAGGGAGTACCATGACCAAAACGACTTGGAGAAAATGGAAGAACGAGTCGTCAGCAGGCTCACCAACAGTATCTCCAACGTGGTCGCCGAAAAGCTCGCCGACGTGTTCCGGCAGTCTGTGGGGGGGTACGGGGCGCCGCAGGCTAACCCGTCCTACCCCGCGGCAGGAGCAGCGGGGCAGCACTTTTTCTTCCCCACGGGGGCACCGCAACAGTACCCGTCCTACCCCGCGACCGGTGCGGCATTCCCCTACCAGGCGGGAGCAGCCGCGGCCGGTGCTCCCGCCTCCGCAGTGGGCGTGGCTTCTGGAGGACACGCTTCTAGTGGGCACAATGAGGTACACAGGGAGGCGGCACGGGCCACAGCCGCGTCCACTACTCAGCCGGGAGCGGACGGAGTTGCACGTGGAGCGAAGAGGGCACGGGCGCAGAGCCGTGAGCCCCTCCCGGGCTTCACCGGTGAGGCTGGGCAGCAGGGAATCGACGGTGGTGCCGGTCATTCCGGGAGTGCGGGGCAAGGTGATGGGGGGCGGAAGAGACCGGGGTATTTGGCGCCCACGGCTTCGTCGTCCATGCGGGCTAGGGAAAATAAGTAAGCGCGGGGAGCGAGGGGTTAGGAACCTCCTCGCCATCCATACTGTTGCGGGCACTGAGAGTGTTGTCTGTTTTTCCCAGTCGCCGTTTTGTGTTGGTCGCATGAACCTGACCTCATCATACATTTATTTTTTCTCTTGCACCGCATGGGTCGTGCCCTTCGAGAGGGGTGGGCGCTCGTGTCCTGCTGTCGACCAGTGTCTTCCCTCTGTCTCCTGTGTTTCTGACTTTCCTCCTTCACCTACTGTTACGAGGCGATGTCTCGACATTGGTTCTGTCGAGGACCGTGAGAGTCTTGTCTGTTTGTCCCGGTCGCCGTTTTGTGTTTGTAGCATTTACCTTCACCCAAAGAATAATATTTTGGGGGGCGTGAGATTATTGTCTGTCCCCGTCGCCATTTTGTGTTTGGTTTGTCGCATTAACCTTCACCCAACGAATACTTTTTGGGGGGGCGTGAGAATCTTGCCTGTTTGTCCCAGTCGCGGTTTTAGTTTTTTTTTTTTCTTGCACAGTGTGTGCAGTGCTCTGGGAGAGGGCAGGGCGCCTGTAGCGGGGCCTAGAGTCCTGTCTGTTTTTCCCGGTCGCCCTTTGCGTCTTATCGTATTTGCCTCCACCCCGTCAAGTCCTTCAAGGCATGTTGCAGTATTTTTTATTTTTTGGGACTGCCTGGGCCGTGTCCTCACGGTGGCCCCTTGTGTATTGGTATTGATCGTTATTTTCTTGTTTTCTTTTGCCATTTTCACGAAATGTATGGACGGCATGTTAGTCTTGCCTGATATGTTGCTATGTGGACGGCGTGAGGGAGTTGAGTTATGTGAGGGGTTTGATCCGATGGCCGATTTCCCCTTGTCTTTTTGCTTTGTTTTTTCTCGTTGTCAACCTTGAGTCATATTGCGGACGCATTTTCGACGCACGAAGAGTGGTTAGCCACTTGCCTGAAGGACCAACGGAGGGTGTTTCTACGTGGAGGTAGACAGGCTAAAGTAGTCACTACGTGCGCACGAATAATGGAAATATGTGGACACGAGAACCACAGACAAGAGAAACGCCCGCGACGTCGCCGCTGGCAAGCGACTGGATATAGGGAGACGACTAGATGTCTTCGCATCCATTCCTTCCGTCAGTTGGAATATATTTTGACTCGTGAAATGCTCAAAACCCGTATGGGGGAACAGACGTCGCCGCTCATGGGAACCTACTATTACCTGGTAAAAGTGCACCCGATAACGCATTCGGTTGTGGTATCTACTCCCAAGGGACGCCAACCTCATGGTGCAGCCGAACCTTCGACTCGATACTGCTGTGCCGTGTTTCCACATACAAAATTATCGAAAAAGACTTCCCCAACGAGCATAGAGGCAGGATATAAGCTGTCACCTGCCCACGAATCGAAACCTTGCCGGGAATCTGCTATAACTCCCCCCCCCCCCCCCCCCCCCCCCCCCCC